CCCATCCCTCACTTACCTGAGCTGTAGAGCTGCTGTCTGGACTGTCTGTGCTGTGTAGTTGCTCCCCCACGGATCAGTGAGTAGTAGAGAGAGGCAGGGATATTCTGTAACTTCCTATGCCTGCCTCTCTCCACACACAGTGACCCCTACTGGCCGGTGCTGGTATTGCAGAGTAATCTCCGTTTATACTGAGACTAATATTTGCATTTGTATTGCTGGTATTACTGCAATACCGTCACGGCCAGGCAGCCTCAAATACCGGCTGTGCCTTAAAATACCAGTCAGGTGGCAAACCTAAGAGTAGTGTGTGTAAATTTTTTTTTAAATGGGCCTATTCCATGGGCCTGGGCCTGGAGCTGCAGCTCCATCAGCCCCTATGTTAATCCGGCCCTGGGTTTAAGCCAATCAGAGTGCTCTTTGTCATTTTACACAGCGTGGGAAAATTTCTTTTGAATTTTCCCACGCTGTGTAAAATGACAAAGAGCACTCTGATTGGATGGCTTGAAAGCCATCCAATCACAGTGCTCTGTGTCATTTTACACAGCGTGGGAAAATTGAACTTTGCCCCCCTCATTATCTTTGTGGCCCCCACCCGCCGCCCAGGGCTGGGGGCTGGGGGAGGGAGGACATTAGGTCCCCCCCTCATTATCTTTATGTCCCCCACCTGCCGCCAAGGGGTGGGGGCCGGGGGGGGCAGTAGGTCCCCCCCTCATTATCAATTTGGCCCCCACCCGCCACGCAGGGGTGGGGGCCGGGGAGTGCAGTAGGTCCCCCCCCTCATTATCAATGGGGTCCGGGGGGGACAATAGGTCCCCCCCTTATTGGTATTTTTAGGGCCCCCACCCACCGCTCAGGGGTGGGGGCCTGGGGGAGGACAATAGGTCCCCCCCTATTAGTATTTAGGGCCCCCACCTTGGGGGGGACCCTTTTTTTTTAAACAGTGAGCAGCCACAGGCTGCTCACTGTTTAATAGACATGCCCCTACTCGCGGTATTGCGAGTAGGGGCACAATTTACTAATACTAAGTAATTTTTACTTAGTATTAGTAAATTAATAGGGGGCGGACCGAACATCGCATATGTTCGCCATCGGTGGCGAACGCGAACACGCTATGTTCGCCGGGAACTATTTGCCGGCGAACCATTCGGGACATCACTACCCCCATCATGTATTTTTTTTTTTTCAATTAACTGTACTGCATCCTGTAAAGTAGGTTCAGAAGCATCCTTCACCATAAAATCATGCCACTCATTCCAAGCTTTTGAATATGCTTTCTATGTGATCGATGATAAAGATAAACCCAATAATTGACTGAATTGAAGTTAGCTTCCAGATGTGTACAGGCAACTTTGTTTCAAATTTCACCACTGACGGTTCAAGGGATCTGAAACACTTAAAGTCAAAATGAGACAAGGCATCAACAATGCAATTAGTGTAAAATGTATATGCCTAGCTTTCACCCATATGTTATTAACCAGACAGATTAACACTAGTCTCCTTAACAAATAAACCACCAGGAATGTTTATGTGAAGGGAATTGATTACCCAAACACTGAAAAAATATTGTCACAATGGAATGGTATTCATTTATTAGAAAATTCAACACCCCATAACTCCAATGAGTCTACTATTAGAAATAGTTCCAAAAGAGTAATCATCCTGGTCCAACCCTTCTCAACACATGCCTGAAGCCATCCCATAGCTGCCGATTTACCTTGAAAATAAATACTGAAGCCTTGTGAGACAGCTGCATCAGTGAAAATATCAAGTTCCTAGTTGGACACAATTTCACTTTGCCACACAGTAGAACCATTAGAGTTACTCAAAAATACATTCCAACAAATCCTCCTTCATTTGACTGGATACACGAATATAATGATGTGTGTTATTGAGACAGGTCAGCGCTCTGGAAATATGCCTGGAAAAGATTCTGGCAATAGGCATTACCCTTGATGCAAAATGTAATAAGCTCAAAATAGACTGTAATCTCTTAACTGTTGTTTTATTGACACTTAATAAATCTAAAATAACATTTCATTTTGCTGATTTTATCCACGGGTAAGCGAAACTCCATTTTTTCAGAGGAAATAATAATTCCTAAAAACTGTAAATAAGTAGTAGGCCAAACCATGTTTTGCCAGA